TTGCCTACAGTTGGGCTGGGGCTTCTTTGAGAAATATTAATTATTATCCTCTAACAAAAAGTCATCCTCACATTCAAGGAGATGGAAATAGTTCTGGACCATTTTGTCCTATTCCCTGGCTCTAGAAGAATTTTCCTTTAGTCCAAAAAGACACAGGGAACAAGGGTGCTTGATACCTCCTCAAGCCAGTGGCCGCACCCCCCTGAGCATCCTCCAGAGGGCGCCCTGCACATCAGTGTTCCTGAGGCTGTAGATGATAGGGTTCAGCATGGGATTGATGACAGTGTTAAAGATTCCAATGGCTTTATCCTTACCTGAAAGCTTGGCTGAACCTAGTCGCATGTAGTTAAAGATGCCTGAACCATAGAATATGGCAACTACAGTGAGGTGGGAACCACATGTGGAGAAGGCTTTCTTCCTGCCCTCTGCAGAGCGGATTCGCAGGACCGCAGCTGCCACATGGGCATAGGAGGTGACAGTGAGGGCCATGGGGGTACCTGCCATCACGAAACCCACAGCAAAGAGTAGCAGCTCATTGAGTTGGGTGCTGGAACAGGAGAGCTGGAAGAGCTGTGGGAGGTCACAGTAGAAGTGATTGATCACATTGGGGCCACAGAAGTTGAGTGTGGATATGGCCACAGTGTGGGTCAGTGCATTGGTGAAGGCACAAGCCCAACACACAGCCACCAATATCCTCTGGACCGTCTGGCTCATGCGAATGCCATAGGTGAGGGGCTGGCAGATGGCCAGGAATCGGTCATAGGCCATGGTGGTCAACAGGAAGCAGTCCACTCCAACGAGCAAATGGAAGAAGAAGAGTTGTGTAAGGCAAGCTCCGTAGGAAATTGTATGTTTGTGGGACAAGAGACGAGTCAACACTGAGGGAACAGTGACACTGATGCACCCAACATCCAGTACCGATAGGTTCCCCAGGAAGAAGTACATGGGGGTGTGGAGTTTGGGCTCTGCCAAGATGGCAGCCAGGATGCTAAGGTTGCCCCCGACTGTGACCAAGTAGGCAAAGAGGAAGAGTACGAAGACCACTGGCCACAGCTCCGGTGTCTCCACCAGGCCCAGCAGGATGAACTCAGTAATGGCTGTTCCATTGGCCCCAGATTTTAGCTGCATGAGTTCCTGCAAAGAAACATCCAAGGAGGAAAAGAATCAATCCTCTAAATTAACTTGTTTATTCAAAAAGAAGAAATAGACCTTGTTCTACACGCCTACCCTCTACTAAGTTCTCTCTCTCCAAGTAAGGACTTTCCCATGCCTTTGACCACACTACACTTGTTAACTCTCTCACTGCATTTACCTGAATACCTTTACTTTATTCCCTGATATAAGAACAGGGGACATTACCGCTCTGGACCTCTCTCCCTC